TCATGATAACCACCACGATTTCCTCGACATCGTGTGTAGCTACTGCTAGCTTCTCATTCGTTGACATTCATCTTGCTTTGTAGAGTTCGCTCCAAATTTACATAATCTTCATTTTGTTTCATTTTCTGCTCATGGGCTTGAAGTGAAACCATGAGCTCATCAATCGATATTTGGGATAAATCTTTCGATTCTTCGATTGCCACAACCACGTAAATGAATTTTCTTATCAATGATTATAAATTTTTTTTCATCACTCTAACCTCGTCGAGTGATTCACCATTTCTTTTTATTTCATTCATGACCGCTTTCAAACGGCTAATATAATCATTGATGTTTTCTGTATTTTTTATTTTTAACATCTCAAACTCAGCTATGAGAGTTTGTAAACGTATTTCTTTGCTTTTTCAGCACCATGTAGAGATTTTTGCAAAATCTCCCACGCTTGTTTTGCGGTCTTTGCATCAAAAAAAATTTTAAAAGTAGATTTGTCTACTCCTTGAAAAATAAAGAACAACGCTCTTTTATCTTTTTTCCGAGATTCCTTCAATACCTTTTTTTCTTCATTAGCCAGGGCTGCTTCTACTGCTGCATTTTCAGGCTCGGTGTAACCATCCTCGATGATATCCTAACAATCTTAAGAGCCTAGTAACACATTCATTTGAATGCTCCAATTGCCATAATTTGTCTTTGTCAATCTCGGGATTTGTGGTTGAATCATGTTGGTCATCTTCTCCACCGCGTTGAACTCGAACCAAGCTCTGAGACCACTTGTTGGAAGCGTAGATGGGCTCACGATAATTTATAACTCAAATTTTTATTGATATGAAACAAAATACGTTACAACGACACTACTAATATTAAAATACTAGTTGCGGCTAGTTTACAATCACCTTATAGCTTTGCTAAGCTCTCTCTTAATTCTCTCTAATATTTTTCTTTCACTCATTGCTCACACACTTTGCTACAAATTACACACACACATATATATATATATATATATATATATATATATATATATATATATATATATATATATATATATATATAACTAGTAAACCAACATTATTTCTTTTAATTATAAAATATTATAGATGTTGCCTTCACATGGACATGTTTATATCCAAACAAACTTTACTTGCCTTGCCAAAACTCTTTTCCTTTGCAATTTGTTAATGTCACATTTCAATCAATTCCAGAATTATGTTTGCCGACATATACTTGTGATTTATATTGCTTCACTTCATTAAGCTTCTACATAACTCTTTTAACACGTTGAGTTTGACTTCCAACAATAACTTATTGTAATAATAAGAAGGATAATGTACACAAATGGTCCTCTGATTATATGATATTATTTTGTTGAGATTTTTTACTATAGGGAGTTGTTTTGTTCAGTCCCTCAACTATTAAAAGTTACAAAATGGTCATTCTACTTTTTATTATGTTCCAAACTCGTCACTTTCCTTTAAAAATTTAACGGTCATATGAGTTGGATGTTAACATGTTGATTGAGATATAATGATCGTTTGAGATTATGATATCAAGTTTTATCATATCTCAGTCAGTCAACATATCAACATCTAGCTCAGACTGCCGTTAAATTTTTTACAGAAAATGACAATTTTAGAATATATTGATTAGTTGGTGACCATTTTTTAACTTTTAATAGTCGTGGGACTCAACAAAGTAACTCCCTATAATTAGGGGGCCATTTTATAACTTTTAATAGTTGGATGATTCGCTAAATCAATATCTTATAGTCAATGATCATTTGTGTACTTTACCCTAATAAAAAACTAAATCTTTAATGATAATAATATTATTTTAAGAGTAATTTGTTAATACCATATTATTTTAGGAATTGTTAATACCATTTTTATGTCCTATTAAATTTGTTGATAATTGAAATGATTGAATTCATGCTATATTTATATATTTTATTATTTAATCATATATATCACTATTAGTATTAATATTAGTTTATGAAAATGGATTAATATTAAGGCTTAATATAAAACTAAGTGATTAAATTATACATTTTTCTCATTTGGGCGCCTAAACTATTTTTTAATCAATTCTAGTGTCTAATGTTATAAACATTATCATTTTAAGTGTCTCGATCATAACAGTCATTAAAAAACTTAATTAAGTGACACGTGTCGTATTTATATATTTTTAAAAAATTACTTAAAATTTTAAAAAAATTTCTTAAAAAAGTGAAAAATAGCAATATTTTTAGAAAATCCCTCAATTTTTTCTCAAATTACAAAAAGACCTCAAAATACTCTAAACCCCAAATACCCTAACCCTAAATAAAATCCCTCATATTTCTTGTCGTCTTTGTCGGCTACCACTAATATTGTGACCGCCAGTTGAAACCCCCACGTTGTTGATCGACCGAAACCTCAATCTATTGACTGACCAGTGAAGCAAAAATTATGAAGCACGAATGGTTGGAACCTCAGGCTGTCGTCGGGGTTCGTTAGTTAGGCAGCCATCTGGCTTTACAAAACCTTTAGTTTTTACCATTTACAAGTTGAGATTTGTTTTTTTTAATGGGGTTTGTTTTGCAAACAAGATTTGTTATTGTGTATGAGATTTATTTCACTCATGAACGCATTTGGTGCAAAGTGAAAGTAAACCGACGAAATGGCATTTAGCGCACCATTAAAACAACCCGGCGATGGGACGATCAGGTTTAGAGATTTAAAGGATTTGGGGTGACGACCGGTAAATGGGTGGTCATTCGACGATGAAGAAGATGATCGAAGATGGATGACGGTAGTAAGGAGATTTTTAGGGATTTGAGTTTTTTTTTTGTAATTTTAGAGAAATTGGAGTTTTTTTAAAACATATAGTAATTTTTAAGTTTTTTTAAATAAAATTTTTAAAATTATATGAGTGTGACGTGTATCATTTAATTGACGTTTTAACAACCGTTATAACTGAGACACTTAAAATGGTAAAATCTATAACGTTAGATACTTGAATTTACCAAAAATAGTTTAAATATTTAAATGAGAAAGATGATAAAGTTTGATCACTTATTTTTATATTAAGTATAAATTTAAAAGAAAAAAATAATATCAATAATCAGTTGATCTAATGAGATAAGACACTAAATTCCTTAAACAAAGTCAAAAATTTATTATATGATATTTGTAAATAGATCAAATTAAGTTGAGAAGATCACCCCATAATAGATCTTTGCAAAACTCAATATAAATTAATCACTCAATAAATCATATTACAGTGATTAATTAAAAAAAGACAAAGAATGATGTGAGGTGATGCAAGGGTGACGAAGCGGTGTGTGGGACGTGAGCGGCTTTGCCCTGCAGCTTGTCGATGACCCCAACCCAAAGGCCGTTTCTAATGATGCGATCAATTTCTTTCCATGATTTTGTTATTTAAACTTTAAGCAAACCCCTTTTATGCTTTTAGAAAATGTTTTCATTTAATATATCATTTTAATATATTGATATTATAAAAAATCAATGATCTAAAAAAATATTATTTTTATTTTTAATAATTTTAAAATATCATTTATTGATAATATTAATATATTATCTTCATAATATTAAATACATAAAAAAAGGATAAGGATGAAAAAGTAAAGGTTGTATAAAGATGTTAGATGTCAAAATGCCGCTTTCTTGTCCCCCAATCACTTGTTTCTTTTTGTCCCCTCATCTTATTTGATGCTTTCATTTTCACATCGTGTGTATCGTATTTTATACATTATGGTACAACTCATTTAATCAGGAATAATTATTTCCATTGGTGAGTGGTGAGGTGACAAATAATATTTATAATAAATGTTGACTCATATTTCTATATGAAAATATATTTTATGTTTTAACTCATATTTTTTTTAAAATATTTTATATAATTTCAATGATAAAAAATATATCATTTTCAAAAAAAGATTTGAATTTAAATAATTGTATTTATAAATATATTTTTGTTATTAATAAATTTAAAAATTTTAAATAAATATTATCATATAATTAATGTGAACTTCTAAAGGAATGTTCTAACATCACTATTACGACATAATTGAATTTAAGGAATTAAAATTTATTTTATTAATAAATTTACAATGTTATTATGTGTCCATATAAAAAGTACATACGATAGTATCCTAAACTTATTTATAAAGTGTTTTTATTGATAGAAGTCTTCAACAACTTGCTTTTTTCTTTTTCTTCTTTTTGTTTATCATACGGGTGTAAAAGAATCGAATTTGAACGAATAATGTCATATTCGTATAATTAATATTGTATAATTATAATAAAATTTAAATAACACAATTATTTTTCATAAATTGAGGAATGTAATTGGTTATTTTCAATTACACTTAATTCAACAGGACTCACAAATTACTATAGTCTTTCAAACATGTTAATATTGTATAATTATAATAAAATTTAAATATATAATTATTTTTCAAAAGCAATCTAAATAATTAAATAATACACATGCTTATTATAATATACGTAAATTTCGATTAAAATTGTAATTAAAATATAATTATTCTTTTAATACAAATATTTATAATACTTAAAAAATTTCTCCAACTATAAATTTAAAGAAATTAAACATATAAATATATACTCATTCTTATATTTTCTTATATATTATACTAATAACATGCTAACCACACTTAAACGTAATAGACAACATAAAATTATAGTTGAGATTAGTATTTGATACATAATACTACCACATGTCTATTATACTTTAGATTTCATCCTTTCTATCTCACTTGTAGAACTTCTGACCTTAAATGAAATCATGGTTATAATAATAATACTAATAGTGATAATAACAGCAACAATACGATAAATAAATTTCCAATTTTATAAAAGATATCGGACGGTCCAGAACCTCAATTATGAAACTAATCTCAACCGTTAGATCAGATTCCCCCGTCGGAACTTCTAGATCAGCGCGCAGTATAAAAACGACATGGTCCCAGTGTTTCAAAGAGATTAAACAATTTACGCCACTCCTTTTGTGTTTATTTTCGCTTTTGCCCCTCCATCCTTTTACTTCTCGAGTTTCTCGGCTTTTGTTGCTTTTCGCTTAATGGAAGGGTCCCTTAAGCTTTAATTTTTTTTTTGTTCTGCAGTTCGTACATTTTCGCCTGCAATTTTGAAAGCAGTAATCGGTCTTCTCTTTCTTCCTTCTCCTTCACCAACCATTATCCGGTGAGTGTTTTTTTTTTAATTTTGTTTTTATTTACATTTCCATCTTCTTCTTCTTCTTCTTTTTTGCAGTTCTGCTTCATTTCAACTGTAAGATTTTAATCTCTTGTATTTGTTATCTGCTTGTTCTGTTTGGTCGCTCGGAAAACAAAAAGGAAATGGATGTATAATACTTTCCTTTTTTTTTGTGCTTATTTTTTGTGTGGTTTAACTTCCTCCTTTTGATTCTGCTTATTATTCAGGCAATATGGAAAACTAAACTATTAACTATACTAGAAGGATTTAATGCATAAGACAGTATGATTATACTCAACTTTTTTCCTTTTTTTCATGACGTAAACAAAATTTGTGCTCTTTTTTTTTTAAATTCTATTGTTTCTCAGCAGTGTAAAATAATGCTAATAGTAGTTGATTTTTCGTGCCATTTTTTAAAATTAGACTCAGACTTTGGTAAGTTGTCTTTCTTGTTAAAATCAGGGAGTAGAAATCATTCTTCACGCGATAAGAAGTATTTGTTGAAGTTGACACGCGGTTTTTTCATTGACATGTAATATAGGTTTTTTTTTTCTGAAGTAGGACTGGTTAAATGCTTATTAGCTGGGCGTTACACCATTATTTGAGCTTTTTGACCCTTCTAATGGAAGCCGAATATGACACAAATTAACAAACCATGGTAGCTCGAGTTTCCTAAGAATAAAAAAGTTGAATTAGGTTTAATGTATGTTGTTATTGGATTCTGAAACTAATGATGCATGGGGGCTTTTCACCAGGATCCGTCAATAATTATGGAACAAATCAACTTGGTGGTTAAATTTAGATCATCTTAGATATTGGTTGTATTTTGTAGCGGTACTGAATCTGATGTTTTCCTTTTAAAAATAATTTGGCTTATAAAGTGTTATTCTTGAATTGAGCAGAATTTTTTTGATTTCTTGTTTTTTGGGGTTTCTATACAGTATAAGAGGCCGTCTTGAGAAGTTTTGGCCGGGTTCTGATGTCTCCACCGCTGCTGGGCGTGGAGGAGGAAGTGCAGAGTAATGTTTCCTCTCCCTCTGTTGACTGTGGCTTGGGGTTAAAGGAGCGTAATTATCTGGGATTATCAGATTGTTCTTCAGTTGACAGCTCTGGTGTCTGTTTACCAGATAATAATAAGAATAATTTGAATTTGAAGGCTACAGAGCTTAGGCTTGGTCTTCCTGGATCCCAATCCCCTGATAGAGAAACAGAGCTTTGCTTGCTGAATTCGGGAAAACTTGATGAGAAGCCACTGTTTCCTCTACTCCCTTCCAAAGATGGAATCTGCTCATCATCACAGAAAAATGTTGTTACTGGAAACAAAAGGGGTTTCTCAGAGGTGAAAGGCTATGTGTACAAGGAAAAAAATTGGATGTTTCATGAAGCTGGTTCTGATTCTGAATCTCCGCAGTCTGTGGGACATGGAAAATATCCTGGTATTTCAGGGGTTAATGTGATTTTGTCAGCAATGTCTCATGGAGCTCAAGCATCTGTAACAAAAGATGAGCCTGCAAATGTGTTACAAAAACAACCTCATGCCACTAGTGGAATCAATCTCAAGCAGACTGATATTTCTAACAACAAAAGTAGTGCACCTGCTGCCAAGTAAGAATAATTTACTGGAGAAAGAACTCTTAACCTTTGGATGATATAATGGGCATTATTTCTTAACTTTTTTATTTTATTTTTGTTACGATATGCCATACATGACAGGGCACAAGTTGTTGGGTGGCCACCAGTAAGATCATTTAGGGCTAAAACCCTGGCCAATTCTTCAAAGAACAATGATGAAGTTGATGGAAAACCTGGTCCTGCTTCTCTTTTTGTCAAGGTCAGTATGGACGGTGCTCCTTATCTGAGGAAGGTAGATTTGAGAACTTATTCAACATACAGGGAACTGTCTGCTGCTCTTGAGAAGATGTTCAGCTGTTTTACCCTCGGTAAGCTGTGTCTTCTTTCATGGCCCTGTGGCTATATCAAACCGGACCCTTCTGATGCAAGAAATGTCTGGAAAGGTCTGGTTGACACATGTGCATTATGATTTCAGGTCAATGCGGGTCTCATGCTGCTGCTGGGAAGGAAATATTGAGTCAAAGCAAGTTGAAGGATCTTTTGCATGGATCAGAATATGTACTAATATACAAAGATAAAGATGGTGACTGGATGCTAGTCGGTGACGTTCCTTGGGAGTAAGCTTCAGTCAAATTTACTGGTTGCCTGGACATTTTCTTTTTCCTATTTACTTTCTTCCTAAAGTTCCTCTTCAAGACTTGTTGGATGTATTTATGATGAAACACTTACTTCTGCTAGATTGAGATTTCCTCCCTCTTGTTACCTTCATCTGTCTTTAATTTTGTCGCAGGATGTTTATTGAAACATGCAAGAGGTTGAAAATCATGAAGAGTTCTGATGCAATTGGATTAGGTAAGTAGTATTTTGTTTCTCGATCTTCCCATAATGAATCAATTGATTATATATTTAGTATATATCACTTCATCGATGGAACCGGGATGCATGCACTGTTATCAGCTTTTTTTTTTTTTGCCTCTTTTATGTTCATTTACTTGAGTGTAGATCTGAATTATTGTACGTCTTGCACTAGAAATGAACTCATCTTGGTTTATGTTTTCTACACGATTTAACAATTCCTGGGGTTCTTTTGAATGGGAGTTATACCAATCATCATATTCATGCATGCATCTCAAGGTACAACAAAAAATTGTGGTGCGGGGCATGGAGCATTACTTGGACTGAATTCTCTCATGTCTTACAACTCAAAATGATGTGCAAAGATTATCTGTTATCTGGAATTATGTTCTGTACTCGAATGCCCTTTAAATCGTGGATGGCCAAAGTCATAGGCTTGATGTTACTGTATCTTCCGTGTGTACAGCTCCTAGAGCAGTGGAGAAATCCAAGGCCACCAACTAGGAAGAGTCCGGATATGATGGTTAATTTCCTTGTGGAAAATGTGAAACAAAAATTCCAGAGCCTAGATTGAGAGCAGATGCTTGCAGGGTGTATTTTTGCCGAATGAAGACTTATATCATAGTCCATCTAATCTATGTTTTAATGGCAAGAATAATTAGCGTTTATCTTTACCACTAGTTTATGATGATCGCTCAATGTGCTGTGAAAATTAGTGATCGGAGATGCATAATCCTCGTAGGAACCTGTGATGTTTGAGATGTACTGTATTTTGTCGAATGTGTGTTTGATCGTAAATATACCTCCTGCTTCTGTTAATGATTTATACGATTCCTCCATACTGAAAACTAACAATAATATGAGCTTGCTCAAAATATACATGAATTGAAATTCTAATGTATCAAAATTCATAAAATTATAAAGAACGAAGTTGACAAAATACATGAATTGTTAAGGGTGTAGAGAAGGATGACGTATGATTTTATGTTAGGAGGTGCGAAGTTATAAAATATTAAGTATGAGAGAATTTATAAAATTTTAAGGTGGGTAAAAATATATTTTCAATAGAAAATATTTAAAATATATAAGAATTTAAATTTTTAAGGATCGCTTCCACCTACCCCTAGTCAATCTGTGGGTGTAGATGCTTCAATAAGTTATATAATGTTCAAACAAAAAAATCCATTTTTGTAACCTTAATATTTATTTGCTTTGAGCAATTGAGCCATGACAACTGTCTTAACTTTTTTTCTCCCACTAGAAATTAGAAAAAAGAGTGATTACAAAGATTTCTGAATTGTAATAATTAATATAAATACTAATGCGTTATCATTTAATATACATACTAAGTAAAATTTATTTATACAATCAGTCTATTTTAGTTATAAATTTTATAATTTAAATTTTTAAAACATAAATTATAAACTAAATCTCTAAACCTTAAATTCTAAATCATTAAGATTAAAATTCTAGATTCTAAACCATGCATAAGACACATACCATTAAAATTATATAGTTTGTTCATTAGATAATTTTCTATTAATATTCTACCACAAGAATCATACTAATATTATGTGCATTGTACAATGTATTGAGCTGTCCTAGATTCAACGATTTAATAATTTCTGCACTCAAAGAACAAAACAGACCAAAGGTTGAGAATTCGTTTAGATTTGGAACAAAGACTTAGAAAAACAGTTCCTGCCTATCTAAATTTTATATGCTAAGTTCTCGACAATCGGAAACTACTTTTAGCTTATTGTCCGTATTTTGTAACACTTTATCCTCTCATTAGTCTACTGCCTTTTAACTTATATCCATATTAATTTATTTTATAATTAAAATCAAATATTATTTAAAAATAATTCAAAGCAAAGCAAATCCGTATTGTGTAACATAATCTCCTCTGAATCTTAGTACTTCTAATTTGTAAAAAAGTTAATTGATTAAAGAATTTTTACAAAGAGATGCATTAATTGAACCTAGTTCTAAAAATCTAGCAGTTTATTAAGCCTAGAACCGTAGGGCATGTGCCCCAATAATGGTCGTCACTCAACCACCAACCATGCCCCAAATATATGTACCTATCTTCATTCCAGCTTTAAACTGGATTCTATAATGGATTTGAATTTTTACATTATTTTATTAAAAATAAAATCCTTGATTGCTTTTTTTTACAAAAAAAAACCATTAGATATTGATTAATATTTCGCAATTGTTTTTTTATGGAAAAATTATAATCCGGTTTTCCCTCTTCATGTGATTTTACCTAAATTTAAATGCAGATTAATGGAATCTTTTCATGATCCTAACTAGTAATAATATGTATCGCATTAAAAAATGTAAGAGAAAAAAAATCAAAACTTTATTTTTTAAAAAAGTATTTTTTAGTAATAATTATGTCAGTTAATGTTTGGACATACGAGGCCAACGAAAATGTTAATTAGCTTTAGCTCGGGTCAATTATTTTTATCGTTTTGGAAAATACTATAAATGGAATGGAATGTTCTGCTTATTGCTTCAGTACTAACTTTCAAAAATATTGTAACATAGAGCAGTACAATATAAATTTTAAGATATATATATATTAATTATATAAAATTATTGAATAGAATATATATAAGGCTTAAAGTACTACTAAGTATATAAATTATGCTCTCTTTTTCCTTTAAGTAATTAAATTATTTATTGATCAAACTAAGTACTTAAATTATTATATTTAATTATTTTAAGTTTTACTTAAAAATTTATTTTTCAACCAATAAGGCGTGAACACGTCGTATAAAATTAAATACTTATAAACAATATATCATTTAAAATTTAATGATACCTAATATAATTTATCTTTTGTTGAGAAATTTTATATTTCGATTGCAAATAATTTATTATGCTCCATAGTAGTGGGACTTGACTAAGGAGACTATGTGCGTAATCCACTCCAAATGCACGGTTTATTACACAACTAACTCGGTACTTCTTTAACACATGAATCAGAAACATTGGACAGTATATAATGTTTCAAAATGTCGGTCCATGCCGGTTGAAATGTGGAAGGAGCATTGGGTTTTGTTGGATCATCATATCATATGGATGCCTCCCAAGGACCCCCAAAATATGTGCAATGAATCTATCACTCTTTTCTTTTCTTCTTTTAATAGCTTTCTTTTAGTTTATATATATATATATTCAGTTGTCCTATTAAAGGGTAGTATAATATATGATCAGGTGTATTGGGGTATGGAAACTTTTATAAAAAATAAAGTTGCTTCATCCAATCATTAAATTAGGGTAACTTTAAATGAGTACTTTGAATGATGAATGTGGGTATTGATAGGCCCAAGATGCTTACATATAATCATGTTATTATTATATATAATATATGTATGGGTTTGAATTCCCCTTCAATGCAGTGCGGTCAAAGGGAGCAGCACGTTTCCAATAACAAATACCAAATATTTTTTAGTAAAGTAAATACTCTGTGTCGCTTTGTTTTTTTTTTCTTTCAAAATTTACTTTGAATATTTTCTAAAATTTTAATTTAATCTAAAGTGTAACTTCTTTTGCTAGAAGTTTATGAATTTTTGTTAGTTAAGTTTAGCTTATTTACTATATTTTAAAGGTTATGAATCATTTTACAACTCATAATTACAAAACTGAATAATATTATGGCTTAGTATATTATCCCCCTGCATTATCATTTTATTTTCAATTAACTTTTGTACAATTATTAGTATGTCTTGTTTGTTATTTTAGTTGTATTTTTGTTTAAAAAAGTTGCTTGAACTAATAAGAACGCATCACATGTAATGAAAAATAAAAAAAAATTAAAAGGAATAAAACTAAAATTAGATTATAATTCATGCCTTTACTTTGTGTGAGGTTATTTCTTTCTTTTTCTTTTGCTTAGAGAAACAAGGGAATTAAACTATTTTGTAACAAAAATGAAGTAATAAGCTACTTTTTTATATTCAGTAAAAATATACTAAATAGAAAATATTTTCTTAAATTAATAAATATATAAATGCTTATATCATATATAGGGTTCCTTTCTAGTTTCTACAAGAATCACGTGCCACATGGGTTTCACATTTCTCAATCCAAAAAGATTTGCCTTCACCGGTTGACGTAAAATAAGATACTCGCATATTAAAATTGATATTCAATGGAGGAAATAACTTTTTTTTTGTATTTCTATGATTATATTAAAATGAAATACATATTTAACATACTGAAAATCATCCATATATATAAATATCAGTCATTGTATTTGAATTTCGATATGCACATATGTTATGGACAGTATACTTGTTTTTCTTAAAAGAAAAAAACCTTTAAGTTAACATTACAAATCAAAATAGCAACAATTCAATTAAAACTTCTCTTTGAAATCACTTTAGAGGGTGTATATTATGAATAGTTTGTTTTATTGGTACAAAGTGATTACAAATTAATATTTATTTAAAAAAAATTAATCAACTAATAATGAACAATGTTCTCTTTTACCACAAAAATCTCTCAACTAATTGGGAGATACAAGATTTTAGATTAGGGGACTAACTTATAATATTTTAGAGAATAAATAACTTATAAAATATTAAGGGATAAATACAAATTATTAATAAAAATATAAAAACTTTAAAGAGAAATCACTCTCGTTAACCCCTAAAAAATAGGTCATCACTCTCGTTAACCCCTAAAAAATAGGTAATCACTCTTGTTAATCCCTCAAAAAAAATATAAATTTTTCTTTAAAAATAGGTGTTTAATATTTTTTTCGTTACATTTTTAGGTATTTAACGTTTTAGACATTATATTTTTAGGTGTCTGGACTATAACTGTTGTTAAAAAATACTTTTATCTGACACGTATTAAACTTATAAAATTTTTAAAAATTGAAATTTATAATTTATTAAAAAAATTCTTTATAATTACAAAAAGATCCAATACATTAAAATCCTTAATTTTAAATCTATTTGCCGTTGTCGTCAGTAATTTCCAGTTACTCTCTCCATCGCCGAAAAGTTTTTTACCTATCGCTACTCATCCATTGACCGATTATTTCCTTTGCCCTAAATTCCATACTCCCAAATTTTTAAGCCACTAACCCTAAATTTAATGGGTAAAGAATTTAGTTGAGATTTATCGAGAGGGAAGTAGGGGGAGGGAAGTAGGAGGGTGAATGGGAATGAATGGGGGAGAGGAGGGACATTTTAAAAAAAATGGTAATTTTTTATTAAAAAATACTCTTACTTTTTAATATATATATATATATATATAATTTAAAAATCAAATTTAATAACATAGAGTTCAAACACTTAAAAATAAAACATTAAAATTATTAAACACTTATTTTTAACAATTTTTTTATAAATTAAAAATTAACTTTAAATATAATTTAAATACTTATTTTTACATTAAACCTGTTATAAATATATTTAAAATATAACCTAGCCAGCCATATTTGTTAATGAAAGTTTCCAACAAATGAGGATAAACGGGGATAGAAAATTAGATATATATATAATTTAAAAATCAAATTTAATAACATAGAGTTCAAACACTTAAAAATAAAACATTAAAATTATTAAACACTTATTTTTAACAATTTTTTTATAAATTAAAAATTAACTTTAAATATAATTTAAATAATTATTTTTACATTAAACCTGTTATAAATATATTTAAAATATAACCTAGCCAGCCATATTTGTTAATGAAAGTTTCCAACAAACGAGGATAAACGGGGATAGAAAATTAGCAGGATCAGCGGTGATTCACTATTTGACTTCTCACTGTAAGTAAGCCCAAGTTTCGAGGTAAAAAGAATATTTTGAGTAACGTTCCGTCCATGGCCATTTCATCTTTGATGAAGATGGGATAACGGCGTTAAATGGGGTGAGCACGTGTTACTGTCAACTGTCAAATTAAGCACTCTCTCGAGTTATGGGAAGGTAACCTGTACTAATCCTTTCCTGCCAGCGTCAGTGTTTTCCAAATTCCTTTATAAAAATATTTTAAGATTAATTATCTTTTATAAACTTAAGGCGTCTCTATCATTTTCATGTAGATAATTTAACGTAATTTTTTAAAACAAACTATATTATTAATAGCATGCCACACAAAAATTGATATCATAAATTCATAAATTAATATGTTACACAGATCATTATGATATTTTATTCATATAAAAAATATAATTAGCATAAATAATAATTTTAGATAAATAATAAATATCATATTATTACAAAAGCCTTTTTTATCATTAGACGTGCGGTAGGCACCATATCTAAGGATATTTTATGATGAAACGAATACTCAATTTGAGAGTAAATAATAATTGAGAGATAAAGGGCGAGAGATTGAAGATGTTTAGATGATTTAATAGGTAGAGGTTGCATGATATTGATAGTACCATGCAAGTCTAAACATAATAAAAATATTATATGGTGGAGAGTGATTTTAGAAATTATTTTAATTAGATAAAAATAAAATTAAAAACAATTGAAATACCACATTTTAATTTGTTTTTCTTATAAACTCAACGACTTATGTTTTTATTTAAACGAAATCCCCCAGAAATATTTAAAAGAAAAAAAAGAGTGAAATTGTTTGATATAAAAGAGGTAAGGTTGGCGAGAAGAGTAACTGAGTGCTCTGTTTTGAAAATCGAACCGGACCGGCCGGTTCAACCGGTTCAATCGGGAATCTTTGTTTAGTCCGGTTCAATCTAAATCGGTTGAACCGTTATTAGTGAACCGGCCAGAATCGCTGAACTGTTCGAACCGGACCGGCTGAAAACCGGGATTTTTATTTTTATTTTTTTTTAAAAAATAAACCAAATAACGTCGTTTGTTAAACGAGCCAAGTCGAACTCGAGTATTGCTGAGCTCGACTCGAACTTAAAAACTTTAAAAGTAAGCTCAATTCAACTCAAACTCACAAGCTAAATCAAGTTAAACTCAAACTCGAAATATAATATTGAAACTTTAACTAAAAAAGGCTTGAACTCAAAAAAAATTAGAAGCTCGATTGAAGCCTAAAATTCGAGCTTGATTGAAGTGAAAGAATAATTATATAATTTTGTTATGATTTTTTTAACCCCAAATTTATTTTTTAATTATAGTTATATAATTATATTTATTATTTAATATGTTTTACCTTAAATATTATATTGTAGTTAATTTGAATCATTTTGTTTCATTTGATTTTATGGTTTTTAATTTATATATGTTATGACTTACTTTGAATATGACTTGTGATATAAAAAATTATTTTTTATTAAATATTTTTGGTATTTTTATTTAATTTTTTAAATAATTATGACGTCGTCCGATTTTTCTGACCGATTGAATCGATTTAACCGGTTAAACTAATGAACCGATAGCATGATCGGTTCGCTAACCGGAACCATGACTAAGTGTGAATAGCTTTGGATTCACACATTCATATGTATGGTGGGTGAGTCTAAACATGGGGGTGGAGATTTCAGACAAACCCAGTGCGTTGACTTCGTACTGTTCCTTGAGCTATGATAACCTCCACTTACCCGTTACCTTTTTCTAAACCCAATTTATTTATTTATTTAATAATTTATCATCTTATTTTATTATTATGATACTATCAATATCTATTAAAAAATATCAATAATATAATATTATTTTATGCATCCTTATTGTTATTTCAAATTAAACTTTGAAAATAGAGATTAGTTTACTTTTCTTTTTTAAGAAAAAAACGTTGAAATAAATTTTGAGTATTTAGTATTGGATTTATATAATATTTAAAGTTTTTAATATTATGTTATATCAAATATATTAAAGTAAATTATGATAAAATTATAAAAATATTTTTTTTTAAAAAATAAGTAAATTTATATTTTATTTGTCTCATTAAATCTGTAGTAAATTTATATTTTATTTGTCTCATTAAATCTGTCTTTTATTAATTTTTTATTATTTTTTTAACTTTGACTCGTTATTATTTAAAATTTATTTTTTATAAAATATGAAAAATATATTTTAAACACCTTCAATCGAGTAGTTTTAAATATATTTCATAAAATTTAACTATTAAAATATTTAAAATAATCATAGTTAAAGTTTAAATTTTTTTAACTTTTAAAAGTCAATAAGAGACACATTTAGTAAGACGGTTAAATTTCTCCAATAATGCAATTGAAAAAAAAATTTGTTTGAATAGGACACTCTCGAAATTATTTCGTAAAATAGAGTGAATGCTACAGTAAATCCGAAAACGCATTGGAGTCCAAGCGACTTACTGGGGGAGACGCATGGAGTGCAATGCGTCTCTCATATTTTTTCACTATGCAAATGTACAAAGGGTAAATTACACAATTAATCATTCATATTTTTATGTTAGTCGTGTAAATATATATATATAAACTTTATATCTACTAAATATTCAATTTAAATTGGTATTACAAATATATTTGACATTAATTTAATTATAAAACTATTTTTATTTAAAATACACGAAATATTATCATAATGATATTATTTTGGACAACAATTTCAATTAGAAATTATGTAAACACGATGTTGGTTTCTTTAGTACATGAAAAAGTGAAAAAAATTATCATGTAGTACACAAGTTGAGTGATTAAATTGAAAAAATTAAAAGTATAATGAGTAAATTTGGAGAGAGAGTAAAGTTAAATAATTAATTATGTAATTTACCTTTTGAAAATATGTGAGACGCGTGGAATGCAATGAGTCTCCCATATTTTTTAGGCTAAATTATATAATTAATCATTCAACTTTACTTTCTCTCTAAATTCACTCACTATAATTTTAATTTTTTCAATTTAATCACTCAACTTTTGTTTTTATCCTATTTTGATCACTCATCGGCCATTGTTCAAGTTGTTACATGGAAGCCAATTTGATCCATCAGCTCTAGCATTGAATTTGTGTACTAAAGAAACCAACATCGTGCTTACATAATTTCTAATTGAAATTATTTTCCAAAACAGTGTAGTTGTATTTAATTAATTTGGAGAGAGAATAAAATTAATGATTAATTGTGTAATTTACTCTTTGTACATTTACAAAAGAATGAAATTGGTAAAAAAAATATGGGAGACGCATTGCACTCTATGTGTCACCCCCAAATTTATATATAAATCTTTGGATTTACTGTAACATTCACTCTATTTCACGAAATAATTTTGAGAGTGCCCTATTCAAACAATTTTTTTTCAACTGCATTATTTGATAAATTCACATCTAATGAAAATATATAAAATTTAAAATATTTTTATCTAAAATTTTGACATGATAAAATATAAATAAATTTGTAACATATAATTACGGAATTAAGTGAAACATAAATTAAAATCATTGCACATTTCATAAGAATTTTAAGAAATATAAGAACAAGTTCGTGCTAATAACAAAAAATATAAAATATTGATCATTAAATTTTTATTATAGACTATAGAGAGGGTGAGAGTGTAACTAAGGAAAAATGTGAAGGGTTTTATTAAAATTTTATAATTTCTGAAATTTTAAATTTTATAATTTCTGAATTTTTTTGTAGAATTTATTTAGTTGCCTTGATAATAAAAAATGTTATTTTTTATAATTTGTATTCAAATAATTAGGTTGAAATAAATTTATTTATTATTATAATAAATCATGTTATCTTTTTAATTACAATTATAGATACATAATCTATTTTGTAATAAAATGAATATTTATTCGATAAATTTAAATTTTTAATAATTAAAAACAATAATTTTAACATAATTTAATAACCATAAGTGCAACTTACCCAAAGATAAAACGCAAAGGGGTGATCTTGTTGGGGTCATTTCTTCTCTCTTTTCACCCCTCCAATAATCTCAGCTTCATCTAATCCAATTATTTTGTGTCTAGTCTCGGAATTCCATTTCCATGCTCAATCCGTTTCTTCTCCTTCACAATTGAACCAAATTCTTTCTCCAAAACTAAAATCCTCCACTGAGGAGAAGAGATTCAACTGACTGAAACACAGAAAAGTTTTCAAAAATGGTGACCGGTTGGAGAAGAGCTTTTTGCACTTCCATTCCCAAGAAGCAAGAGAGCCCAGGTTTCCCAGAAAAGCAACTGCACCACCAACAGCAGCAGCAGCAAAGCAATAGCACAAAGAGTCCAAGATTTTCCTCAAAGTTTGGATTTTTCTCCAATCCATCAACGCCTAGGTTACAATCTCAACCGGTTTCAAGCCCACGTCTTCGTTGCCGAACCACTTGCACCCCGACATCTTCTGTTCCCAATAGTCCCAAACTCCATTGCAGAACATCCCATTTCTCCGACCCTTCCTCCCATAAATCCCCATCCAGTTTTTCCTTCCTTAAATCCACTATCTGCCTCTCCAAAGTAAGTTCCTTTTCTCAACTTTGTCACTGTTCTTTTATATCCAAAATTTTGTCCTTTCCACTAATATTCTTTTGTTATATTGTTTTTTTTTCAGGCTGGCCGGTGTGGAATCTGTTTAGAAAGCGTCAAAACGGGTCAAGGCACGGCGATTTTCACGGCGGAGTGTTCCCATTCCTTCCACTTCCATTGTGTCGCTGCTCATATCAGGAAGCAGCATATACTAATTTGTCCCGTCTGTTCCACCTCCTGGAAAGATCTACCTTTACTCTCCCTTCAACACTCTGGCCAACCCCATAAAACATCTTTCAACAGCATCAAAACGAAGCCGCTTCGGGTCTATAACGACGGTGAACCGTTGGTTTCTCCTGTTTCTCTCTCTCAGTTTAATCCAATTCCTGAATCCGAGGAAACCGAAAACGACGATGAAGAGGAGGAATTCCAAGGATTTTTTGTTACTCCGATGAGCAATGCAAGAGACGTGGAGGTTAGGTTGTCGCAGGAGGCTGCAATGGTGGCGGCTGGGAGGAGTTACGAGAGTTACGTGGTGGTTATGAAAGTGAGCGCGCCAACCTTAACGCATGGGTTGAAGAGGGCTGCGATTGATTTGGTTATGGTGTTGGATATTAGCGGGAGTGCGGTGCGGTTGCAGATGGTGAAACGTGCGATGCGGTCGATTATCTCCTTGCTTAACGAGAAGGACCGTTTGTCGATCATAATATTCTCATCGAGTTCGAAACGGCTGTTGCCGTTGACAAGGATGAGTTCCAGTGGACGGAGATCTGTGAGAAGGATCGTCGACGCGCTGGGAAACAACGGACAAGGGATGAGTGTCAACGACGCGCTGAAAAAGGCGGTCAAAGTATTAGAGGATCGTAGAGAGAAAAACTCAGTTGCCAGTATCATGATCTTATCCGACTGTAATGATAAACAGTCCGAGTCGAATCCCACCAATGAGAACCTTCCAGTTGTTTTCACCACGCGCCTGAGCCATTCAGAAATCCCCGTGCACTCATTCCACTTTGGATCGTGTACTCACGCTCCAAACGAGGATACTTTTTGTAAAATCGTGAACGGTCTCTTGAGCGTGGTGGTTCAAGATGTGAGGCTTCAACTGGGATTCGAATCCCGGTCAGCCCCAGCCGAGATATCATCTGTCTATTCATTGACGGCCCGACCGGCTTTAATGGGGTCGAGTTCGGTGCGGGTTGGAGATTTGCATTCGGGTGAAGAGAGAGAGCTATTGGTGGAACTAAAAGTACCCGTATCATCTCGCGGGTTCCAGAGGATGATGTCCTTACGATCATCTTACAGAGATCCATTTTCTCAGGAGATGGTCTACTCGAGATATCAAAGCTTGGTTTTACCTCGGCTCCCACAGTCCTTTCGATCTTCTTCTCACAGTGCCGCGCGGTTGAGGAACCTCCACGTGAGCACACGCACCGTGGTAGAATCTCGTGGATTAATCGAGAGCAACGATCTAACTGGAGCTCAGCATTTGCTTACTTCGGCTCGGGCTTTGTTAATGCAATCGAGTTCGAGTTCGGGTGAGGAATTTATTCGTGGGTTGGAGTCGGAGTTATCCGAGATGAATCGGCGACGCCTGAAACAAAGGGTAAATAATAATAATAATAATGGGAGAGTGGAGGAAAAGGTTGAGCCGTTAACGCCGACTTCGGCTTGGAGAGCCGCAGAGAGATTGGCTAAATTGGCGATTATGCGGAAGCATATGAATAGAGTTAGCGATTTGCATGGATTTGAAAATGCCAGATTTTAGTTTTTGTTTTTATTCCGTTATTACATGTGTAGTATGAAATTTACATAAAAATAATAATAAAACAAAAATAGTTGTATACTTAATGCAATGCCGGCAAAAAGGATTGGAAGTGTTGTCTATTTTTTTTAAAAATAAAGGTAATAAGAGTAGATAATTTATTTGATATCTCATTTATTTGAGTTATATTTTAGTTATTTAATTTTATTTGTTTAAATTTGATAAAAAAATAAGTGTTTAAATTACATTATTTTTTATTTAAATGTCTAAATTTTTAGGTGTTTTTTTTTTGAAAAATCACCGGTGATCGGTATATTTATCGATCTAACATCGATCAGATTATATTTTTCGATCTAACACCCGTAGCAGTAAAGCGCGCTCCCTGTCCCGCGCTATACGCTGACATGGGTTATACGTGTGTATAACGCGACCCTTGATCTGTTCTATACGCTACGTATGGGTATTACGCGGATCAGGGGCCACGCTATACCTGGTTATCTGACACATGGGATATAGTGCGATACATGAGGCGCTATACCCTTAATTACCCACTCGTTCACACCCTAATCCTCTCTATAAATACACCCATCCTCAATCACTTTCATCACACCAAAATCTCTCAAATTCTCTCAAATACTTTCTCTATTTAAGGTATATTTTATAATATTTTTAATATTATATATTTAATTTATTTAAGTATTTTATTTTATTTTATATTTTACTAATATAATTCTTTTACAGATATATAATGGAAGGCATTTTACTTCGCTTGGATGGAAATCATATATCTCGACACTTTGCTGATACGGTAACATTTTAACGTTTTAATTTAATTTAAATTATTAGTAATAATTAGTTGATTTATTTAATGCATGATTATTATATTAAGAATTAATTTTTATAATTATTTATTTTTAGGAGAAGGACCGTGTATTAGATCATTTTATTAGGAAACTTTAGTTAGTGATATCTAGCTGTGTCTTGCCGTATTTAGTAGAGCCTGGATTTGGTTACATAGGTAGATATCAGGGTCACTGCAAGATAGAACCAGCCCTTATTTCTGTCTTAGTAGAGCGGTGGAGGCCGGAGACCCACACATTCCATCTTCCGTGTGGAGAGTGCATGATCACGCTTGAGGATGTTGCTATGCACCTGGGGCTTTCGGTGGATGGAGATGTGATATCAGGGAGAGCTTCCGGTTATTGGACTACTTTGTGTCGGGATAATCTAGGACGTGTCCCGGAAAGTTTTATCGGAGGTAGGATACCGTTAAATTGGTTAGATGCCAATTTTCGGGAGTTGAGCGCAGACGCCTCTGAGGATGAGATTAAGATGTATGCACGGGCATGCATATTGCAGTTGATAGGAGGGTTGCTGATGCCGGACAAATCGTGCAACCTAGTTCACTGCATGTGGTTGTGACATCTTAGCGACTTTCGTCTCGTTGGATCATTCAGTTGGGGCTCGACAGTTTTGGCTTTGTTGTACAGAGAGATGTATGGAGCCACTGACTACAGGCGTAATGCTATCAGCGGATGTCTCCTACTGCTATAGTCCTGGGCATGGTATCGATTACCCTTTTTATGTCCCTTTGTGAAGAACCCATTCGTATTTCCACTACTTCTGAGGTAATTATAAAACTGATATTGTATATTAATAATTTTATACAGTGTATAATAAATTTTTTTCCTTGAATAGGTGATCTACTGATAGGAAAAATCATCAGGAGCTACCTGATGATTTAGAAAAAATTAGGGTGTTAATCGATCAGAAATCTGGCACACAAGTATGAATTTTAATGTTTAAAAATTGATTTTAGATTATAGTTATATAATTAGATTATTATTTTGATAAAAAATATATATAATTTGTTTTAGTTTGAATGTGTGCCATTTTCTACTGATGATGTGAGGGCGGTGATCCCACCTGAGTTGAGGGGTCCATCAGATGTTTGGATGGCGATGGTCCCTCTGATATGTTATGCGACCGTCAAGTGGCACTCCACTGATCGCGTGCTCCGGCAGTTTGGTTGTTTTAAACCAATTCCGGAAGCACCTCGTAATATGAACGAGTTGCATAGCTTAGATAGACGCGGCAAGACAAATACAGATTGGCTGATGAGGCATCATGAGTGGGTCGTATTGTGGGAGGATCGACATCGGCGCCTTCCACGTAGAGAGCCTATTTTTACTGACTTCTTGATAGACATGATCGCCTTGCATCCAGGTTTAAGCTTGTCCCCCGAGCTTCGCAAAAAGCGCCCCCAAACGAAAATATGTAGTTTTTACCAAAGCCGCTACAGGTAAGTGACGTGCACCCTTTAAGGTTGAATTGATTGCCTCAGCCAAGTTGGTCGTCATGTGTTCATATCGATATCCACCATCATATGCGTTCGTCCACATTTCTTTATCGATGAGGCTGATGTAATCGTATCATTCCTCGTTCTTCGCCCATAAATCTTGAAGCATTGATTCAAACGTTCGAGGAAGTAGTTCGTAACCTGATCAAAAAATGTATAACTTACTAACTTGTTTTCTTTGCAAAATTAAAATGATCAAAAAATGTATAACTTACTAACTTGCTTTCACTTACCCATGCGCACAATTAATTGACGCTCATCATTCTTCTTGTACCTTCCATGATTGTTCGCAGCAATGTGTCGGAGACAATACCTATGTTGGACAAAGGGTGGTTGCCACATTAGACCCAAAGACTCCATTGCTGCTTTGATCCCAGCTCCGCGATCTGAAATGAAACAAATGTTTTCCCTCGTGATAACATGTGCATGTAAATTTCGGAGGAAAAAAGCCCAAGAATCTGTATCTTCTCATTCGACAAGAGCAAAAGCAACTGGAAGAATGTTGCGATTGCCATCTTGGACAACTGCCAATAATAAAACTTGCTTGTATTTTCCATACAAAAAAGTCCCGTCGATCTGGACCACATGCTTGCAGTATTTGGCAGCATTAACGCACTGTGGGTAACTCCAAAAAACCCGGTAGAATTGGCTTCGATCGCGAAGAACTCGATCATTATGGTATGCATAGGTGGTTTCGAAGTACACAATTGTCCCAGGATTCAACGTCCGCACCAGCCTAAACCAACCTGGAAGTTCGTTGTTAGATGCATCTCATTCGACATGAAGTTTGACAATGACATTTTGTTTTGCCAACCAAGCTTTTTTATAGGAGACGGTGTACCCATACTGCGATTGTATAGCTGAAATCAACACTGCAACAACTATATGAGAGCTTGCTTTTACCATGGGCATGATGACTTGGCATATCATTTCAGAGTCCAAGTTGGGATGATCTTGGTTGACCCCTCCAGCACAACATGTGTGAGGACCGTTGTATACTGTTAGTTCCCATATGTTGTTTTTCATCTTCATTTTCGATACGCGAACTATCCAATTGCATCCGTTTTCGCGTCGGGTACAATAGCATACATATTTTTCGGTAGTCGATCAGTTGACTCTGGACTGAACAGAATTACGGATATTGTAATTTTTGATAGCCATCATCGCTTCTTCTTTGCTTGAAAACTCCATGCCTAAAGATAACTCACCATTATTTATTGATGAGTAATATCCATAGTCACCGAGATGAGGCATATCCGCAAATTCTGGCCCGTACATTGCACCATAATAAGCTTCATACATGTATGCAGGAGGGTCAGTTTGTGTCACATTTCCTGGAACTTCATCTACATCATCATCATCGGAGTTGAATTGCGGTGATTCTGGGTGAATGAATAGTCCGGTCTCAACACCATCCGCACCAGGCTCACGAAGCGGTTCTTCTGGTGGAGATGATGATTCCTCCATGTGCTCCACATTTAGGTCGAAGAACCTACTACTTGCATGTCTTCCCCTTGAACTAGAAGGCATATCGACATTGAGATCGAAAAAGCTCGCAGTCGAATGCCTCCCCCTAGATCTTGAAGCCATCGTGTCAAATGGAAACTGCACAGATTGTTGCGTCGATGACATCTTCATATTAAGGTCAAAGAAATTTGCAGATGAATGTCTTCCCCTTGAACTGGACGCGGTGTTGTCGTACGGATTGTTCGTGGACCCACTTCGGTACATATCGTAAAGAGTTGCGGATGAATGTCTCCCCATTATGGCATTAAAATCATTACACATTACTGTAGACGGGCTGTCAACTTGATCAACTTGTTCAGCCAGCCCATAGTGGGAGCTTAATGATTGACCCCGAACAGTACGCACTTGAACAAAATATGCATACATCTCAATAACAACGTCTGAATAATTACTTTGAGCTTCAACCATCATTTGAACATCATCATTGTTCGAAAGTTCGAACGCTGTATAAGTTAATGACAACAATGATGTTAGAAATCTGTACTGCAACGACGACATTCTTCTACTACTTCCAACATGAATCTTCCTCGAAATCTTCGTTATCAGCTCCTCAAGAGTTATGTTTCTCTTGAATGATATTTTAACACGCTCATTTGATACGAAAACAACACCGGTTTCATCTTCTCGAATTTCACCATCATAATAAACAATAGCTGAAAGTCGCGCCATTCTTTGAGTTTAAAAGTGCGGCAATATTATATTTGCAAAAAAAAAATAACTGAAACAAACCTGATTAAATAAATTATATATGAACGAAAATATAACACAATAAATTTTTTACACATCAACGTAAATAATTTAAATAATATAATTTTATATTATTACCTGCACCGCAAAACTATTTCGACGTATGCTCCCGCTTTTCAATTTTACAAACATAAAAATTAATTGAAAATAATTAGTATAATATTTTTTCAAATAATGATAATAAACAATAAGTATAATTAAAAAATTATAACAAAATTACCTTATAACGAAAAATCGCACGAACTTCTAAATCAAATATGATAAGATTGCCAGAATTATTACTCGTTGACGGAATTGTTGTATTAATTTATAAGTTGAGAGGAGAGATGCGAGGAGATGTGAGAAATTTAACCGGAGGAGGAGTGTATTTATAACCATATAAAGCGCGGTACTTGCACCACGCTATATGTAATTATTCAGATAAAAGATATAGTGCGGACCAGGGACCGCGTTAAATATAATTCACCCCTACGTGACGTATAGCGCGGATCAGGGGGCGCGCTATACACACGTGTAATCCATGTCAGCGTATA